ACATAACTTATTTGTCTATTGTTGAAAGTCTGACCTTGTCTGGAATTTCTTGTCAGTACCTACCCCTTTTTCCCTTGGTATAACATGTTAGATTAACCATGCCTATCAATTCATGTCTATTCACCCACTAACGGGTGAATCAGTATCTTTGAATCCGGCCACACATACACATTTTTTCCCCAATATTAGGATGAATGGGCTATGGTTAGCAACAAAGACAAACAAAAGTGCATCTGTTATTTATTATCCAGTTTGCAAACTTGAACCACTGATCAGGCATGAGTACATAAATAAAACAGAAAAGAAAGGGGAAATATGTAAAAACTATCTGGCAGCAATCTGAAGACGAGTACAACTGAAGTGTCCTTTGGAGCCAGCATGCCCCAGGGCTGAGAGAAAGGCATCCATTTCAGAGCTGAACAATGCTAACAATTTTGTGAAATGACTGACCTGTGTTCAGACCTCGAGCGTGTTTCCTGCAGCTAAAATTGCCGTCCCAAACATTTTGTGTCTCATGACATCTTCCCTGAGCTTGCCCCCACACTTTTTCCATGATCAAGCATGGGTTTGGTTCCATCACAGGCACTCACAGCTGGATTCCACCTTCATGCTTGCTCTGTGTCATCTTAATTCTGCTGGCTCCCAAGTCCTCACTAATAACTGGTGGTGATTTAGCTCAGGACAGGAATCGGGCTTACTGGAAGAGCCTGGAAACTTTAAGTTTTAATACCATAATGAACTGTTTTGCATTAGTGGGTGTCTAGTGTTACCTATAAGGAATGATCTGGAGACACGTTTGCTTACCTGTTTATCTTGTAAAATGCCAATCATTAAATATGGGATTAGCCTTTGGCTTCCTGTATACAGCAGTGCAGCAGGGAGATTGTACTTAGTGCTTTGTTGGAAGCAACAGCTAGTTTCCTCTTGTTTTTCAGCCTCGTTCTTCCAAGGCACCCTATCCCATGCAAATATTTTACCTCATGCACGTGAAAATATTTTACCTCATGCCAGCTGCTAATTTCCACTTCCATGTGCTTGGTCCTAAGCTGACCTCCCCAGTCCCCTGTTTGGAAATTGTGTTTCATTTCCCTCTCCCAGGTTAACATCTTGTACTGTAAATAGAGCTCTGAAAAAACAAAGGTTCTTGCCTTTGATGCATGTTAAACAGGTTGAGGGTAAGTCCAGAAGGTACCACTGGCTTTTGGTCCACCTGTGTTGTTTATGTTGCAGGTAGCAGCATAGCCTGAACCCTTAAAACGTTTGCTAACGTTCCATAACAGTTTATTAAAGGCTGCAAAGTCTTGCTTGAAATTGCCACCTTCTGAGACTAAGTGTAGGTGAGCCGAAAGAATGTTGCAAGTGTTCTGAAGGTTGGGACAGCTGATAGTAGAAAAGGCATGTGTTGAGGCAGCAGATTCTGTATTTATATATAATGTATTGTGTATATATATGTACACATATAATTTTATTTATATATAATGTGTTGTGTGTATATATATAATTGTATTTATATATGATATATGAAATAAATGTATTATTTCTCCTAGAAACTCCAACCCCCCTAAACCCATAGCTGGCTGGGATTAGAAGTGTTTCATCCGGAGCTCTGGGTTATCTTCTTATTCTCAGGGGAATGCGTGGTGATTGTCCCCTTTGCAGTGGTACCACCTTGTTGGAGTGCCAAGCCCAAGGATTCTCCTAAATCCCTACAGAGAGGATGTTTCCTGGGTACAGAATAAATCCAGCATGCTATTCCCATACATCCCTATTAAATATCCTGCAGGTTTTTTAGGATGTAGTATGTGTGGAGTGCACATGATAGGTTTTACATCCAACTGTTTCACTCTGAAATGTCCTCCTTCCACTTTTTCTTGAGGGTGATACAATCTGATATGATTAAAAATCACTGCTACTTTATGGGTTTGCCCCTGCCCTGCAAGACATTTCAAATATTCAGAGTCCACTGAAGTCATCTTGTGTGAATTTCTTCCTTGTTGCAGATACAGCATTTTTAAAGCATGAAGTAATACTCATGCTTTCTCCAGTGGTTACATCTTGTCTCTGAGAAGCTTAGTGGTTTGTGCTGACGACAAGTAGTTGGCAGAGTAACCCATTGTATAGCTGTCCTATTTAATCATTATCCCTCAAGCATGTTTATGAGCTGTTTAAGAGGACAACAATTTCCAGTAAATTAACAGAGCAAGATACTAACTTGTCTCTGAACATGTGGCTGTTTATAGGTAGAGTAGGCAGCGTAAGGGATATTCTGCTTTTATGCATGATAATAGATTAGTCATGCTATTCCCCTTTGCAGAGTTATAGTGACCTTTAGTGGCCTGTTATGCAAGGCGCTATTTACAATCTGTGTAGTAAAAATACTTTAGCTTATGTCTCTTTGTGTTTATGCATGTTGCATGTATATGCACATGTGTTAAATATGATAGGAGAATGTTCATGGGTGAGTAGTGATTTTTCAGTCCCTTAGATTTGGGATGTCCAGCTAAAACTCTAAAAGTTGGTGGTTTTTAAATGTCACAGAGATTCATTCAGTCTCAGCGTAATGTAAGCAGGAGCTTTGTACTAAGATTTTATTTAGCAGATTGATTTCCTACAGGTGAATTTTTCATTGAAAGGTGAACTTCATGAAAAGTTACCATCGTTTTGTCTGACTGATTGACTGAACCTTCCCTTTACACATGTAAAAATTGAGGAAAATAAAAGATGGTGTGAAATATAAGTATCTGACAATCATCCTAACAAAATAAATAAGAAAACAAAGCCAACTGTGGCCAGTCCTTTGTAAAGGCTGCATTTCCTTCTACTTCAGCATGATCCACCCATTTCAAAGTTTTTTGTTACTTTTTTCCTAGTTCCATAAGCATGTGCTGATTGATCATGGATGAATATGATCTAATTCCTGCCTGGTGGAATTCCCCCAAATTCTGTAGGCCAAATAGTAGTGTCTGCTGTCTTCTAGGAAGTGGCATCTGTCTTTGGCTGCTAACGTAGGCTCTAGGTGACCTGCTGGTCTATTCAGAGACAGAAGGTGCTCAGTCCTCACACATCTCCCTTCTAAGATGGCCCAAGACATTGAATTTAGGAGCCGCCTCATCAAATCTTAGAGCAGTTTGGGTTGGAAGGGACTTTCAAGGTCATCTAGTCTGCCCCCCTGCAATAAGCAGGGACATCTTCATCTAGATCAGTATCTATTCAGGATTGCTGCATAATTGGCAGAGAGGAAAGGCTATTTCCAAGTTAAGACTTAGTCCTCTGAAGGTGCCTTTCTCTGTTTCTGCTAAGTGTTTTAAAAAGGATGAGATGTAGCCAAGCTTCAGTTTAAGAAAAGATAATAATTTAGAGAAGAAAGGACCAGATTTATGTTGCTTCATGCCAGATAATTCCTTTTAGTCTTGGGATATGTTTCTGCTTTCGTTTGTTCTTACACTATACTTGTACAGGATGTACAGCAGGACTATTTAGAGAGTATGCCAAAAGCTGGGATAGTGCAGGAACTCATACTCTCCTTTCTGTATCTCTTGCATGAATCTAACCACATCTGTCCAAGTGTCTGGTAAATCAACCTTTCAAGAAGACCAAGTATTAAATAGATCTGTTTGCTGTTCTTGATTTAACATAAACCTTCTGGTTGATCTGGATCTAACTCCTATGTGAAAGTTCAAAGAAAATAATTTCAGTGGGCTTTGTTAATTTCTTCCCTAGAATACATAATAAAACTCATTCCAGGTGACCTGGACAAATGGAGAATATCATAGTCTTCATTTTCAGTTGATCCCAAAGAGACTAAACTGTGGGTAGCTACCTGTGCTTGTATCTGTCGGGTATGTAAGGACAGATATTGTAAAGATAGATTATGAATACATACTTCAAAGAACAGATTGTAAAGAACCTGCGGACCAGTGAAGCAGAAAAGCTATATCTTACCAAAAGACATAGACATCTTTTACCTGGAAATAGCATTTAAAATCTAGATGGGCCTTTGTTTTTTGTTTCTTTTTTGGCAATACTTTGGTTAACTCACCTATAAACTGTTTAATGCAGAATCAGACTCAGAGCACGCAGTAATTTCATATCTATAACAACTTTCATTCTCCCTCTTTCAAGTATTTATGATTTGAATAAGGTATAAGTTTTCATCCTCTCAGAGGAAAGGATGTGAGGAGGTCCCTATGTAGGACTATCACTTGTTGATTTGACAGAAAAATCTCTCCCTCACTCTCACATGTTTTAAGGATAGCAGCAGGACGAATTTGCTCATACTTCATTGACAGAGCTAATTTGTATTAAATTCCAATAGATATTCTTCAGTGAATATCTATAAACTGCAAAAAAGTGAGAAGGGATTTCTAGTGCAAGGTTTTCTTGACTGAAAATCATTTTGCCAAAGCTTGGGGTGTTTCAGTTGTTTCAAGCATCTGCTTTTCTGGGCAAGTGAATAAGCTAATGATACAAAAAGTCTATTTTTGTACTATTTGTACTGAAGGTAGAAGAACAGTTTTGGTGTTAAGGATTGTGCATTTACACAAAAATTTCATTTATCTCATTAGTTCTGATATAAGCTGTGAAACAGCCAAATTGGCCAAAGCAACAAATAATATAGTTACAGAAAAGGTAATGGAGTAAAATTACTGGCTTAAGATGCTATGCAGTGATTTATATATTTTCCTGAGATTTTTCTCCTCTGTCATTATCTTCACACATGTAGAACACAGACAGCTACATGTGAACTAGATTTAGATACATTCATATCCTATCCAGTCAAGAGAGACAAGTGTTTCCAGAGCATGGTTTGTCTGTTTTACTTTAGATATTTTCTTTAGGATTATTTGACCCTCAAAGTGTTTATTTCTTTTGTTTGGACTATTAATGGAAGTCCAGACATCCAGATCAGATGTGTTTTTTTATTGACAGGCTAACCCCATCTTCTTGTGTCATGGAATTTAATTCAGAATAGTAATTATGATTCATATTTGTGCTTGCAGGTTGGTCAGGACAAAGGAAGCTGTTCTTTTCGCAGAAACCCCAGCCCATGCATTGTTCCTCAAGAGAATGAGAATATTTTCCACACAATATTTGCTTTTTTCACAAAGTCTGGCAGAAAAGTATTGGTAAGAAAGTCCACTTACAGTAAACTTGAACATACAGTATAGTATATCTTACAAAAGATTTTGGATTGTTTAACAAGAACTCAAGCAGATAGTTCATCACAGAACAACTGTTTGGTGCCTGTGTACCAATACTCATCATGTGCTGTGGGGATATTTAGTGATTTAGTTATTTAGTGAGGGCCTGGCCCAGGTTGGACAGAGAAGCTGTGGCTGCCCCATCACTGGCAGTGTTCAAGGCCAGGTTGGATGGGGTTTGGAGCAACCTGCTCTAGTGGAAGGTGTCCCTGCCCATGGCAAGGGGTTGGAACAAAATGAGCTTTGAGGCCCTTTCCAACACAAACCAGTCTGCGATGCTATGATTTTAATTATCTTCTTTTTAAAGAGAAATAGGAAGTTTCAGGAAGCACAGTGGGGAGGGAGTTATGTGACATGGCAACACTCATTTGGTAACCAGAGCCCTCGCTCTCATGTTGTCATAGGCATATGGAGCAGCAGGGCCCTGCACTATGCTTTGTGCCTGACCCATGCAGTGGGCTGATGTGCAGCAGTGGCCCTGCTCCTTCCAGCCTTGGGCGCTCACCTGGCTCAGCAGCTCTGAACAGGGCTTGATTTTACTTGGCTTGCTGTCATGCAGATCTCTGATCTAGCTGCCTTCAGGTCCTGAAAGTTGCTGCTATTTCAGTGCAGAAGTGCTGTATTCTAGGAGCTTACTCTGTAGCTTAGTCAGCTGGTGTGTTTGCTGTCACACAGTTTGTCACTGAATTTTTTCCTCCTTTGCCTAACAGCTTTTTCCATATTTCCTGTAGGACTGTGAAAGACCAGGCAGGTCCTGCTTAATTATACGCTGCAACTTAAGTTCACTAGCCAAAGCAGAGTCCTGTGATATAAGTATCTACACGCTGCTGAATACAGAGATACTGAAGAAGGTACGTGCTTCCTTTGTAGTTTGTCTTGAATACCAATTTCAGTATGCTTATGTGCACCAATGGACTCAAAACTTGCATTCCTTGCTCTCTTTACTAGTGTGTTAAAAAAAGCATCATGGTGTCAAAGAAAACAGATCTATTTATCAACAGCATGTATGGAGGTGTTAATCCTAGTTATTACCCATTACCCATTAAGCCAGAAATAAATTAAGTTCAGAAATTTATACATTGAGAAACAACAAATGAGGCCCCTGATTGTATGCGTGGTGTTAAGGCTAGAGACTTCTGAAAGTTGAATTGATTTCGGAAAGTTTTCATTCTGCAAAGTGAAATTAGAGTAAGTGCATGTAAACTGTGACCAACTATCTATCATTCCTTCCATGTAAACAGAGACGTGGCGGGTTTTTGTAATTTTTTACTTCAAATGATTATTATTCAAAGAAGATGCTTCATGACCATATTAATGCTGAGCTTGACATTTGTGACAAGAAACAAATGGTTGCAAGTTAATTCCTGTGTTCTCTGAAGCCGCTGAATGAGACAGCAGACCTTTTAGATTTCTAGTGATTTATTATGTTTTGCCCTGTTTTCCTTTACTTACAGAAATGCTGACTGTGTAATTGTGGCAAGATGCCGTAAGGTTATGAGGGTACAAGGTAATCAGAGGAGAAAACTGAGAACAGGAGCCTACTAAAATAAACTTGTCTTTGATAGCTGCTAGATTACAAGCATTGTAAAGAGCTCTTATTAGAAAGCCGTTCCTAAAGCAATGGATAGCTGTGAGCTTTTCCACCTGAACCCAACCACTCTGCTAATGTTTGTTCCTATTTGAAAACAGGGAATACAGGCAAGGCCGGAAGTTTTGGGTATTTGTTTACATGTTTATGGAAATGCTGAAATATGTAAGCAAGTAACTGAGTGCACACAAAATGTGCTTCTGGGAAATTCAGTCCTAAGAATAGCCAGGATTCATCCCACCTATTGGGTCCTTTTCAAGATGACCATTAGCAGCACTCCTTTAAAACACATGCAGTGCTTACACATGTCTTTGGGTCAGCATCAGCAATACATGCCATTTGCTTGCTTAGCACTTACCCTCCCCAGAGTGAATAGCATACAAATGACTAACCTATGAGATGGAATGGCCGCTTATTGGAATGTGCCTGTTAAAATGCACTGTGTAAAATATAGGGGGAATATGTATTAATAAGGGGAGGTGTATGCTCAATATTTAAGATATTTACAGTGCACAGCTGCAAATAATTCAGAGTTTATCCCAGGTTTCATATTTGTTTTTTTCTGTTCCTTTGAAAAACAAATAGGAACTCTCTTCGACAGTGGATATTGATACTGCCTGTGTTGACCGGCAGTGGTCTGCTTTTTGCTTTCGCAGTAAATGTGGGAAACGTTAACAGGCCACATAGAAATGATGTGTTTCAAGCCCAGCGTACCTGATTTTGTTTTAATCTGAGATATGTGCTCTGTTTTGTCTGTTGTAAGCATAAGGTATATTTTTTTTAAAACCAGAGTTTTAACCAGAATAGTGCTTAACTGTCACTGAGCCTCCTCTAAGCATTGTCTAGATGTTTTTATTACACTGGAAAATGATTGATGTTTTTGTTTTGGAGGGTGGTGGGGAGTGGTGGTGCCTTTTTGTTGTTGTTGTTGTTTTGTCCTCAAATCCAATTCTTCCTCTTTTTACTTCTCAGGACAGTTCATCAGTCATCCAGTTCGTCACAAGGGCAAGGGTGCGGGTGGACCCTGACCTCAGAGTTGTGGAGATACCCAATGGGAGCCCAGAAGAAAAACCAGTAAGTAAATCATAGGATCAGCCAGGTTAGAAAAGACCTTTAAGATCATCAAGTCCAACTGTTTCCCCGGCACTTTCAAGGCCACCACTAACCCATGTCACTGAGGGCCTCGTCTACATGGGTTTTGAACAATTCCAGGGACAGCGATTCCACCACTGCCCTGGGCAGCCTGTTCCAATGCTTCTTAATATTCAGTCTAAACCTCCCTTGGTGCACCTTGAGGCCTTTTCCTATTGTCCAATCACTTGCTCCTTGAGAGCAGCCCCCTCCTGGCTCCATCCTCCTGTCAGGCAGTTGTAGAGAGTGATAGGGTCCCCCCTGAGCCTTCTCTTCTCCAGACTATCCCCCCCGCCCCAGGTCCCTCAGCTGTTCCTCATCACACCTGTGCTCCAGGCCCTGCACCAGTTCCATTGCCCTTCTCTGGACCCACTGAATAAACCTGAAGAGAAAGGTTTCCTGATCCCAGTGGACTGGAGATCATTGAAAGCTCTACACAAACTGGATTGTGTGGCTGGGCTTAGCCCATGAGAGTGCCCAGACTTTGTCTGGCTAGACTAGCAGTAATGTGAACTGTATTTGTGTGGTTTTCTCCCCTCTGATAACCATACCATCGCAGTGAATGACATTCTCTGGAGCAGAAGGATCTGTGTCGTGCTAGTCAAAATTGTAATACCCTTGAGGTTCTTGTGCCAAAATTAGGTTTAGCTTCCTGTTCTAAGGTTAACATCTGCTTTAATCTAATTCAGATTTTTCTTTAAAATCTAGCAGAGACTTGAAACCCCAGAAAAGTCTTTTCAGGTGTGCCAGTGTGAAATACTTGGAAGTGTTAATGATATTTGGGGAGCTGTGAAAATGGGCAAGGGGACCTAAATTGTCAAATTCATTTAACTGTTCCATTGTGCTGAGCTGGCAGAATTTATGTATGACCTGATACTGCATTTTGTAGTGGTCTACGTGTGATTGAATTTCGAAGGGGAAATATTAAAGTTCAAGGCAAATTCACTACATAGTTTTGGCTGTAAGCAGAACTGCACAGGGCCATGTTTATAATCTACTAGAGAAGGAGGAGGTTTCCTACTTTGCTTTCATTTCCTACTACCAAGCCGCCTAATACTTACACATGGAAATTGAATAGGCGGCCACACGGAAATGAGCTTTCTTTTTGCCTGATGAGATTTTGAAGTTTAATTTCTTATTTCTGTCTCACATGAGGATCAAAGTTAATCTGGACCACTTTCAATTTCTCCTCTTGTTGTGTATTTTTGGAACATGATCTAGATGCCATCTCTCAATTAACCTTTTATCCCCAGTGATTGCCATTGCCACCAGCCCATGCAACCATTCTCTCATTGACTCCATTTCAGTGAGTTCTATTGAGATTTGAGTGTGATAGCATTGAGTTCAACACACTTTTGGAAGACCCTGACATCCCACATTAAAGCATTTCTCAGAGATGCTGGATTTAAAACCCTACAGGCAAAGGAAGAATTGAACCTGCATCCATTTAATACCCTCAGTCTGAAAGTAGACCCACCAATACAGTGACCATCTTCTCCACCATCATGTTTGCAACCCTAGACTTAACTTCCTATTTTATTAGACCTGTCAGAAATATGTGTATATATGTATATATTTTATTTGACAGGACACCATTTTTTCCCTTCTGTTTTATTTTCTTTGTCAGTTTTCTGGACCATTATAAGAGCATTAAAAAATAGGCTTGGCAGCTGAAATAGAAAGCATAGCAAGCTTCTCTGGGAATGTGCCTGCAGCCTTAATTTTTAATACATTGCTTGATTTCTTTTTAGCTCTGCAGCTTGCATAGAGCAAATCTTGTGATTTTGTGGCAAAATTTCACTGGCTGAACAAGTGACTGATACCTATGCCCCAGTTGAAATGTAAGAAGCCACCATCTCTCTGCCAAATGTTTTGATCTGTAAATGGTTTCAGAATCTCTCAGAATGATAGGCACTATGTAAACTATGTGGGATTGCTATTATTTCATGTTCAAACTTTAGAAATGTTCTTATCTAGGAATGCGAGCTCTGATGTATTTCATTGTTATCCAATGCTTGGAGAAAAAAGAAGAAAACAAAACAAAACCCCAAAACATTGTTCTTTTCCTGTTCCCGGAAAGCCTTTCATCAAGCCTTGAGTTGCAACAATGACAAAGTGCACTGTGTGTGCTGGAAAGCTATGTTAATCTTCAAACAAGAGCTTGCTCCTAGTTCCTGGGAAGCCCTAGCCGTAAAGGAGCATTCTTGACATGTTGTAGCCGTGTAACATCAATTTGTAATTTCCAGTCTTTTCTAATGTGAGTGCCATTTGCTCCCTCCTTTATGCTCTTTCCATATGTCTGTTGGCTTCACCATTGGTATGTTTTGCATAGGGTCATGTTCAGGGAAAAATTTAAGACGTGGTTTGGCTCAAAGTATTCGTTTTTCATCCTTCTCTTGTGGAATGCAGAAGGAAATAGTACTTGTTGCAAGCCACAGCTATTCAGCTGGAAGTAGAGATAGGAGAGAGAAAACGTCTTTGTTCATACTCCTCCCTTCCTTTTTAAAATCTCATCCTGGATTCTTTTCAGTGACTATGGACTGCTGTACCATATCCATTTGGATAGCAGCTCCTTCTGAACAGTTGTGCATGGACTTCCTTTGAGTCTGGTTATGAAAGTGCCCCCTAACAACAAGAAACATTTTCTTAGACATTTTCTCATGGTAAATTTGAAAGAAAAGGCCTTTTTGCCTTCTACAGCTAAATGGAGACTTATTAGCACACTTAAATGGTTGTTTAGAACAAGGTGCCTTTACTTCACTGGGTACTTTTACTCTGTATTGTACAACATCAAGTGCAAATAGTCTGTAATGAAGAGAAAAGGAAATTGAAGACTCATATTTGTGATGTTAGTGTTAAGAACTACTGTTGGTGGCAGGACCACCCCTATAAATATCACCAGTAGACTATTTGTAAGGGAGATGCAAAAGCTTATGTAAATATTTGCAAGCTGGATAGCAGCTGTCTTTGTAATGAACCCATTTTTTAAGAAAAAAAGATGCATTTATTCAGTTCTCAGAAATCATTTCTCTGGATTTGGATATGGTTTCATGTGACTTGGAATGATATATTTTCTGTCTCCAGTTACAATAGGCTGTTTGAACTCTTATATTGGACAAGTCACATGAAGAAGGTGAGCAGAGTTTGGATTTGGCTCTGTAGTGACAGTTGTATTAGCAGGAGTATGTATTGGCTGAAACCGATGGTGTGGTATTTTCAGGAGGCATGCTTTCTTTTCTTGAGCATATGGGTTTCCATGAAGGTTTGGCTCCCTTCTTCTCTGCATGTGAGGCAAAACCAACAATAAGCTCCATGAGACCGCCGTGGTCAAATACCAGATCCAAGGATTCACATCCTGTGCTCTCTGCTTGTGTGCAGGAGGAAAAGTGTTCTTCTCTCAGAGACACTTCCCTCTCTGAATGCCAGTGTGGAGGGAAGAATAAGCTGGATTTCACCATGTCAGAACCAGCCAAATATGTCTGAGTCTGAATAGATGCAAAGCTGAATAGATTTTTAACCTTTCTCTCCTCCTGCATAGAGTTCACTGTTTCCTCATTTTCAGCCCAGTCACCCCATATTTAATTTGACACAGGCAAGTGGTTGCTCTACATGGATTATTTTTCTTTTCTCAGGATTTAGGTACGTTTATGTACAGAGATATAGGAGAATGGTGTTTTTTTGCAAGTCCCCTCAAGTATAATGGCACCTGGATGGACAAATCAGCCATCAGAGCAGTGTGGTTTGAACCACCAGAATCATTCTGGGTGATAATAGAAAAATAAAGTAACATTTTTATCATAAGCCAGTGCCTTCCATGATGCTGTGGTTCATGATACAAGCACATAAAATTCAATTAGCGCGCGTAGGTGGGAACTAAATGATCTCTAAGGTCTCTTCCATTGCTAACCAGTCTATGATTCTGTGATTCTATAAGCAAAAAGAAATGAAAAGTTTGCAATTATGTATTTCTAACTGTATTTTGCTGAAGTATGTTTCTTGTCTTTGAGTCCCAGTGCAGCAGCGTGTGTGTATTCTGCAAAGGGCTTCAGCACAGTATGTACTTTAGGGTTTTGCAAAATTCCTACTCAGTTAACCTCTTAACTTCTTGCCTACACGCTCTACTGGAGGGTGTTTTAAAAGCATTAAATATATATATATAAAATTCTGATTCTTTTCAGTTTGTTCATTAAGATTATCAGAATATAGCAAGTGTTTGGCACAGGTAGATGATGAACTGGTAGATGCCCTTGTCCCATGCAGGTTCAGCATTTCAGAAACCAGTGGTAGGGTGAAGCCCTCTTGTTTTACAGAAGGGCAGTTGCATTGTGTAAAATCTGATTGACGTGTGAGCTATGTCTCACTAAATGGCAAGCTACTCTGCCTCCCGGGCTTCCCTGCTTCCAAACCCCACCAGTATGGTGTGAAATGCAGAAGATAAATACGTAACTAAAACTCCTCATACATCGTCAAGACAACTCTGCTTTTCCACAGCCTTTCCCTGGCATTTTGTCGCAGGCTGAGAACAAGCCTGTAATCCGCTCCATATTTCATGACTGTTGTATCTGCTTTCTCTGAACCAGGTGGCTTCTGCCCCCACTGCCCTATCTGGGATGTTTTCCCAAACCCAGCTCCCTTATCTTCTGTATCAGTCACTCTTATCACTCCTGTATTCTCTATCAGTTAGGACTGTGGGAAGTCCATTGGGCGGGGATGGGGACTGCCTTGTGCTTCCCAACACATTGGCTGCCCTGTTGGGGCTCTTCTGGGGTGGATGGGATGAGGAGTTCAGGTTTTGCTGGTGACTGGCTTTCAGAGACTGTGTGATGGCCATGGGTCAAGTGGTGGATGGCTCTCTTCTGTTTGGTAACACCATCCTCTGCCTCCAACCTCTCCCCATCCAAGGATGACTTGCTTCCCTGGCCTCCCACCACCTACTCTACTGACTTCTTGTTGATCACCCTGACATGTGATGTACACTGTCTGTTCAGTCTGCTTTGATTGGGGTTCAGCTTGGGTTTTTTGTTGTCGGTTGGTTGTTTCACCAAAGCTCATTGCAGTGGTTGCATATTAATGCAGGCACATTTTGAGAGCTTGAGAGGGATAAGGACACTAATATGTGCAGCGTCCCTGCTTCTCTCCAAACCACAAAGCCATGAACAGTGGGATTTTATGCTTGTTTGTTGATTCCAGACTGCTAGAATAAACTGGATAAATAAGAAGCTGTTGTTCCTTTCTACCCTTATAGCTCGAGCTGTGACTGCAAAAGCTACAGCCAAGCTATTCTAGCCAGAGTGCTGCAAACCTGAAATTTGGGGCTCTTGCTTCACAGATGATGTATGATTTGATCTCTGCAGTTATTCCTAGCTCTGTCTTTTGGCAGCATGAAGGACATACAGGTCTATTGTGCTGGATGTTGTATTATGTTAATATTTACTCTCTGAGTAGTGGGAAGAAGACACCACCTCATTTTGCATCCAGGGACTGCCTGAAAGGTCTCTTCACTAAAGCTGGCAATACTTACAATGTTAGGAGGGTTTCTTTTTTCTTTTAGAGTCAGAAGGGAAAATAAATTAGTGCCTTGTCATCTAAGAAATACTCATCTAACTTGTGTCTGCAAGATGGATGCTATCCATAGCCTCCGTGAGAAATGGACTGCCACATCAGATCATCTTTCCAAACTGGCTCAGAAATACAAGGAAGGGACAAGATTTGTGTTTGATCCCTCTGTCTGGTATTTCCCTCACACTCATCTTGGCTATGAGGGAAACTGCTGCTTAGGAAACTGTTTCTGTTCAGCAAGATGTCTAAAGTCTGACAAAGGCTTTGTGCTAATGTCTGAAACACCAGAATTACTCTTTTTGTGTGGGTGAAAAAATGGCCCATGGTCAAGAACTATTTTGAGCATTGTGATACTAGTTATGGGAATATGTTTGGATAATGCTATCTATGTATAGCATCTTTCTTGTCCATTTGTTATGTTTCCATGTTGTCATCAAGTGCCTGATAATTTCTCATTAATAGAAAAAAAAAACAGTGTGTGTAAATCAGCTGTGTTCAAATTCCTCCCCCAGAAAAGTTGTGGTCTTAATCAGGATTAGTTTGTGAAACTGAGATGAAGGATCTTCAAGTCCTTCTTTACGGAATGCCGTGGCGAAATAGAGCTCTACTCAACTGCTTACTCTCACCTGTGCCTGTAATTTGTGTGGGTGTTTGCTGAGTCTGCAGATGCTTACAGAAACAGATAAATGGTTGTTAGTGGCATCCGGGGATGCTCTCCTGTCCTATTTCTCACTCAAAGCAGGGCTGTTACCTGCACTGGCTCAGGATCCCCATGGCTTTGTGTAAGGCTTGGCAACCTGCAAGGATTGAGAACCCAGAGCCTCTTTGGCCCCTGTTCCAGTGCTGCCATCACCTCCCTGTTGCAGCCTTTTCCTGAATGCCCACCTTCAGCACCCATATGGGTTGTATGGCATCATGTTCCTTTTGCTGTCTCATAAATGATGCTGTTTGAATGGTGTCACCAATGAATGCAGGTACTTCATGACTGTATTTGACTAAATCCCAGACTTTCATCCAATTTTAACTACCACTTTTTTCATGTTTTGTTTAAAAGATTGATTTAACAATTTGTATCTATGAGAGGGTTTTGACGTTTTGAGCAAAGATGATGAAAGGGGTTTGTGAAGGAGGGAGGAAAACTCTCTGCTTTGCCTTCCAAAACAAACCAAAATAAAGCCAGACAAAGCAATGTATTACCTTTAAAAAAAAAAATCCCTGCTGTCTCTCTGCATTTGCTGGATATTAAATTGCAACATTTAACATAGAAATAGCCTTCACTGAGGAGAACTGGTTTTGAGTTTTCCACTGAGAAACTGGTTTTGATTGAAATAAGAGACTGGAAATTCACATAGTGTATATGAGCGGTATAATTTTCTCCCATTTTCTTCTTAAGGCAGATGGTTAAGGAAAGCTCTTTGTAGAAAGTATTTCCTTGCCATACATGCTATACAAATAGAGAGAAGAGAACAGCAGGGGACTGCTTTCTGTGTTCCCAGAAGAACCCAGGACTGCACACACCCTTCTCTCTTTCACACAATGTGCCTTGTGAAGCACAGCAGGGACAATTTGTTTTCAATAGGATTGTATGTGAGTTGTGCCATTTTTTGTGGGGGAAAATAAGTTAACAAGCTCAGCAAACATGAGTGTTTCATGTAAAGCATCAGGGTGTTTGGCAGGCCCAGGAACATGTTGAGTAAGACAAACCATGTGAGATGTCGTGGAAATCCCTGCCAACCCAAGGGATGAGCTATTCGTGCAAGCCTTTTTGCACCTTTAGTGGACCAGCACCAGAACAAGCTCAGTGTATGGGGTGGGATGGTGGATTGGCAGGGTAAGACTTATTTCAGAGTGGAAGCTGATATCCTTTGGATCCAATGCATGGCTACTTAGAGTCCACTTGAAAGCTTTAAATCCCTTCTGAAAAATAGATGGAAAGCATAAAATTAAGGGCGCATTCTATATTTGCTTGACAGATGAAATATGATCAGTGAGGCCACCATGCAGTGTGTTTAATGAGTGCAAGAGAAAACAATACAACTTCCAATCATAAAAAGATCTTTTTCTAATTGCTTTGTAGGTGGTCTTTGAGGCTTTGCACAATCTGGAGCCTCGTGGGTATGTTGTCGGATGGATCATTGCCATCAGTTTGCTGGTGGGAATTCTCATCTTCCTGTTGCTGGCCGTGCTTTTATGGAAGGTAAGGTAACAGATGCAACATAAACACCAAGGCTAGTCCCAGGAAAAAAAAAAAAAAGAAAAGCTTAAAGTTATCCTTGCATTTAACATTCACTTTTTTTAGGAACTAAAAAATTGTCCACTCCATTACAGAAGTCATTAGCCAGCAAATACAGTTTTATATCCAGGCTTTTGTGAGGGACAGGGAGAGATTCGTGTTGTAGAGAAAAAGTGAAGGCTGAGGGTTTTTTAGGGCCTGGCGATTAAAAGTTGAGACCTCTGATACCATTTCAGGAGAAAGCAGTGATCCCTCTTAGAAATCTGCTATTATCTCATACTCACATACTTGGTACATCTCTCTGGTTTTGGGATAACTGAGGTTCATTGATTTCGGGGTTTCCTGAAGATCAGGTCAAATTTCTTGACCAGCTGAAAGACCGCACGCATCCCTAGCACAAACCTGTCAGTAGCTACTGTTTTCAAGAGGTAAATGCCTGGGGGAGAGGAGTATCCAGTAATAAATTCTTCAGATCACTCAGAGTTCCGGACGAGAAAATGCCTTATGAGAGCAAGTAGTGCATGGACCTGTTAAAAGCCATCCTTCGCACAGTCTCTGATAAGATACAGCTCTTGTACCCAGGCGCTGTTACATGGTAAAACTGGGCTGATGCTGACAATTAGCAGCAGCCATCTGGTGTGGTAAATAGAAGGGTAAGGAGCTTCAAGTGTTTTCATTCCTCAGTTCCCTTTTACCAATCCATAAATCTAAAAGGCCACGGTCAAGGTCAGGGACTGTCTTTGAGAGAAGTAAATCTCAAGTGCATACATAGGAACAAGTCCAACCTTATTTTGCTTCCTGTGGCGGAGGTCCAGCAGCCTGATCTGCGCTGTTGAGCAGCATGTGTGCTGCAGTCTGTGCTCACCCGCTGTGCTGGGACTGGAGGTCCCAGCCCCAATGTGCTGTGAAAGGACATAGCGCTGCAGGTCAGGAGGCTGTAAAATGGATTTACAAACCTAGGCCAAAATCTGTCCAGGCAGTTCTTATTATAGATTATACAGATGTGTAGATCGCTTTGTTATAGGGTGTAAATCTACTTCTTAGGTTATATAAATTTTATATGTGTTGTAGATTTGAAGTAGTTTTATAGGCAGTTTTGAAGATTTAAAACCATATACTGGCCAGGTCAGAATTGACTGTGCTTTCCATTTGGAAAACAATATTTGACCACAGTCTTGAATGTGTTGTAACTTCTGTTTTTCTGACATGTGGGCAATGCTTTTGGTTTCCATGGCAGAAAAAGTGAAAGAAAGAAAAAAAAAACAAAGGGAAAGAAAAAGGTCTGTGCAATTCAGATGGCAGAATAACCATGAGAATGAAAAAATGTGAGGTTGGAACAGGCCCAGGGTTTATGCCCAATGACACACAGGTTTGAAAAAAGGAGTTAATGCTGCTAATACCTATATGACTGATTTCATAAGGTTCATTTCCTGAAGGTAAAAAGGCAGTAGATGATCTGTTTGAAAATGTGCAAGGTAAGAGGAATAGCACCTTTCACTGTGAGCCTCCATGGGAATCAAACACAAGTTCAGGTCTTGGTCTCTATTAGGATTAATACAAATTCTTTGCCTCCTGGCTTGATCTTGAAACTTGAGCTCTTCTAAATTTTATAGGGATCATTCAAGTACACATCAAGATCATTCATGTACATTTTGAGTACTCATGGTGCCATTTTGATGCCTGAAAGCCTTGAGGGAAATTCTGACTGACAGCAACAAATAGTTCTAACTAGCACCAGGCTTATATAGCACTTTCTGCATGCAGATGTTGAAGTGCTGAGGCAAAGGAAGGTGAGATTCCTTGCCCAGAAAGGCAGACTTTGTCAGCTGCACTCCTGTGCTTCATCTACAGGGTTGGGTGACTACTAAAGAAACCAATAACTTAACAGTTTGATTTAGAGAAAAGTGGTTAAAAGTCTGTAGCTGTATCAGCCAGTATTTTCATTCAAGTCTTCATTTGGAACATAAATATACATAAGTGATACTTTGCACTCACTAGTTGCTATATTTATTAAGATTACTGGCAATATTAAAGTTGTCTGAGATAAAACTGATGTGGGAAAGCTGCAGTCCTGCAGAGGAATCTTAATTGTCTGATTGTAAATATTTGTTAGACAAAAGTGGCCAAGTGCATCCTACAGTCATGCCTAAATTTGCTGTGTGAAAATGTAAAAAAGGCAAGCAAATGTATATTAGAAGTGGTTTAGTTTTTAACTGTGGAATGAAAGAACAGATTTTAATTAAATGGAGTTTGGGGCATCTCAGAATGACTGGTGAGAACTAGAAATGACCCAGATTTGAGGACTAGCATATAAACTAAATTATATTTTTATTAAGAAATTAATTAGACCTAAAAAAGTAGTCCTGGAAGGCAGCTCCTTACACAAAACAGAACAGGAGCTGGAGCAAACTTATTGTAAGAGCACTGGCATCAGTGCAGGGATTGCTGGCAGGGCTCTCAGCTCTGTGTGGAAGATACACTGTCACTGTGTGCATGACTGCCCAGTGAGGAAGTTCTACCTACTTATACCAAGTTGTAGAAAAACATTAGAATACATGTAAATATGTCACATTACACACTTCTAGAATTAGCAGGACTGAGGTCTCATGGACATTCCAGCCCTATATTGAATCAGAGTAAGGTTACTGAGCATACAATAAAATGAGGATGGTAATTATTTCATTATTTGTAGATCTAAAATTGCACAGCTTAGGAAGTCCATGTCAAATGGAAGTGATGTCAAATGCCTGGTTGTTTCACTTCAAACAAAAGTGTATTTATTCGCATGCAAGACCGCAGCCATGTTTAAACACACATAACGAGCTTTTGAGCATGAGCTTGATCAGTTTTTGACTGCCTTTCCTTCTCTGTTTATTTTAGTATTTCATGTAGACACCGTGTTTCCTCTGGTTTAAGTGTGCACAGATCCAGAGCAGGAGAGCAGCTTTTCCTTGCATTCGTGGGATAATGGCCATGATGCATAAGGGTTACCTATTGCCTATTTTGTTGGATAACCCAGTTTTACCTTGACACTTGTTGTTATTCCTATCTTGTTCATCCACTCTAGATGTCTTTGTACAGGCATGCATGGGGATGTGGGGATGTGCTCCCAATGTTGCTAGCTCCTCTGCACTGCACATCACTTTCCCTGCTTGTGCCTTGCCTGTGGTCTCCTATGTGGACAAGGAGCAGGAGGGGCTTTCATGCTGTTGCCCACAGCCATACATCTTGCTTTTTACTGCAGAGATTGGACTGCACCTCTTTAGTGGCCTCCAGATGCTTGTGGAGATTGAAGCAGGGGAGGAGTTTGCTTTGCTTCTGGCCAACTACCCATGTGCTAGACGAGCCCATGGTTTCACAAGCACTGGCAATAGTTCAGGAGGGAATGGTGGTCATGGCTGGCTTATTTTGGGGAGTGCTGTCCTTCAGCTGTTAGGACTGCAGCCATACATGGGGACAAGGTCCCCTTTGGGCATAGTGGATTTATGCATGTGTAAACCCGGGGAGAATTGGCATACACAGTGCAAATGAAAAAGTGAAGCGTAATATAACACAATAAATATTCTGTAATAGAAATGCTTTACAATGCTGTGGATTGAAATTTGAACTGGCTTGAGCTGTGGAGTGAATTATTCAATCCACATCATTTTAGATAAAGTGCACAGAAATTAAAGAAATGGGGTTTGCCCAGAGGATATCAAAGAGGGGATGTGACAGTGAGTACCAGACTGGACATCTGAGCAGCTGAGTGATCTGTGGAGCCAGTTGTGGAAGTGATTTGCAAATCAAAGATTTTATATTCATTGCAGTAACGTTATTTTGTTTCTTTGTGGCATGTTTAACACAGAAGCTGTACTTTTATCTAAATTTATTTGTCTAGACATTAAGCTTCTTTCTGAACTGAGCCTGTCCCTGTTGTATCCAAGCTCTGACCCATCTAAAATGAGGTTTCTAGCATCATTGTATAGATTTTGGATTCCTGGGGTGAAGAATTAATCTCTGGGTGTCCCTTATGCAATAAGACACTCTCGTGCTCCAAACCCTCTTTGGATTCTTGATGGGATTGCAGAGAAGAAAACGAACAGAATAGCAGCCACATACATTGGGGTATGAGTAGCTGAAGGGTTCCTGTTCTTAGGTGCTATGCAGAAACATGTTTCCTTTTGTCTTAGAATAAGAGTTTGAAAACTTTTATTTTTTTAGGAGAAATATTGTGATGACAGTTCTGTTTACTGAGCTGAGTTAGTGCAGGCTTCGAACTGGTGTTTTCCAGCGAGGAGCATGAATCCTACCAAGTGCTGGACTTGCAAAATCCTGCTTTAAGCAGAGGCTGTATGTGTGGATGCAGTGATTTGGTAGCACTGCTTTAAGGGACAAGCTTTGAAATAGAAAGCTTTATTTATGAAACATGAAGTTCTTTTTTAAGAAAGCCAGACAAACCCAAGCAGGTTTTTCAAAGGTGCCTTTGGGCTTCTAGCTTGAAGAAGCCTTATGAGTTTTTTCTGTGACTGCACAAATGTCTTTGAAAGAGCACTTATATTCCCCTACATGCAGTAGTTGCCATTGCCTCACATATTGTTTCAGCCTTCAGAAGACATCTTAAGCTAACCAAGGCTAAAGCTAACTTGAAATTCACCTATGTAGTAGAAACCACTCTTTTTCCCCTTCTGGAAAGAGATACTTTCCCTTACTTAGGGCCTCCAACGTTAAGGCTTTTTAAAATAGGCCAAAACATACAGCTCACCATTTTCCAGCAGAGGAAAGAAAAAACCCACACCAGAACCAAACCAAAAACCTCTGCAGTTACTCTTTGCCAGTTGATCTGTATCCTGTGTTACAAGCCCAAAAACATTTTCTTTCCCTTTAATTTATGCTCAGGTGGCAGAGGCTAGCTACCATTTCCTGGCTAGTCCTCGTAGCAGCCCCTTTCCTGATGGCCACGTTTTGGATTAGTAGCTGTGTTG